CCTCCTGTTCCTCTTTAACGTGTGGGGGCTCTGGGTCCTCCTGTTCCAGACTGGAGCTACACTCCTGCTGCTCAGGGGGAACCTCTTCAACCACCAACAGCTGCTGGACGTCTGCAGGAAAACAGTAAACACACACAGAGACGTTACAAAGAAATGTTAGTATTGAGCAAATAGTCTCCTGTACATTTTTTTTCCTGAGGGACCCTGTGCACGGTTACCAAACAAACATAACGACACAAATTGTAAAGACACAACGCACCAGCAGCAATGAGGTCATCAATAGTTTACATGGCAAGTGTGGCACTACCCAACATTGTTAAGAAGTATTCAAAGAACCTGCATCCAGCATAAAGTCCGGCGGAGATTTGATCATGTGGGCAGTTATAGGTGACTAATGTACGTAAACCTGCCACCGTAGAAACAGTGGATAGAACCTTCAGAAGCAGCCACAACGTAACCGTGGACGTGCATCATCGGTGCGCTCCGTTTCTGAACCAATAGCACTCCACCTTGGTAGTCTGCCGTAGAGAACACCCACGTAAAGATGATGAAACTGAAATGTGACAAAAACAACGACACAATCTGAACTAATACACTTTGTCTAGAGACTGCTCTCAGGAACCTATAGGTCGAGGTTGAACCCCCCCCAGCCCCCTCCCACACACACACACACACACACACACACACACACACACACAATTGTTTGTTGCTTTTCAGTAGTATGCCTGTAATTGTTTGATAGATGTTTGTTGATGTATATTATATTGATTTATGATCAGTATTGTTAAGTAAATAAACTCTGTTATATTTTAAGGAGCAGTTTTCTGTGATGATTTTGTGCATTTGTGTTGTGATAGTAGCCGGATGTTATAGTCAGTGCTCGGATTCAAACCTTCACTGTTCACTCTGGATGTGGTAAAAAATACTATTGACATTTAGAGTGAACACCAATATTGAGACCATCCACATTTTGGTTATTGGTCCCTGATCCCAGGGTAGTCCCTATTGTTATTGATATATTTGATAAAATATGGAATAATTAAATAGACTATGTATGTAACTAGTATTAATTCTGTAAATTAAAGTTAAATGAAATAATCAAGACCGTTGCCGGGATAGGAGTGGTTTGGTGTTCCCGCCATACCCCGCACCCCCTTTCCAGTGTAGCAATGGACCCACATTATATCACTTTTTAAATCAACTCTTATGTGACCATGAACAAACTAATCATTTCAGAATTCAACAGGCTGCAAAATCCACGTGGTGTTATCAAAATAGTACACACTTGTATTTTAAGTTGACATATTCTCTGTCATCTAGAAGCTGAGAGAACAGATCAGAAGAAGAAGAAAAAGATTCATTGCAACCGAAACTCACTCCAAACTACATTGAAAAGTTATCAGCCGGGCATGAAGAGAAGAAGTAAAGTGAACCCACGTGCTCTTTGTTTCTGGACTCCCGAGTTGAAAACAGCGTCCAGTACTTTCCGTTGTCGCTCGTTCTCCTCTTTTGAACGACAAAGCTCCTCCTCGTGCTCTGCTATCGTTCTTTCAAACAGACCAAATATCTCTTCAGCAGCCGCAGTTAGTCGCTGGTTGACTAAAGATCTCAGCATTTGGACTTTAGACATGTTCACTAAACCACAGAAACGTCTCCTTCTCCTTCTTCTCCTTCTCCTGGTTTACTTGCTCTTCCTCTTCTTCTGTGGTGTTTACCGGCAGCTTGCATCCTTTTTGTTGCATTACTGCCATCCTCCGGCAGTACCCGCCGGGTCCCGTCGGGTATCCAACCTCTAGTGTAGAGCATGTAACTTGTGCTTGTATTAAATCTATCCCTAGCGTCTGCAATCTTTCGACCAGTGCGTTAGCAGCAGCAGGTCTTGTTGAAGCCAGAAGGATAAAGCTAACCTACCCACATAATGGGACCATGCTAGTTTAGCCTAGTACCAGCAGGCTAGCAACTTAAAAGTGATATTAACAGGTGATAAGTAGGCCTATATTATCCCTTGGATAGTAATAAGGCTATCTCTGTTCCCTGTATTCTCGACCAATGTCAGCAGTCAACTAAGCATGGTTAGTGTCTGTATTAAATTGATGAATTACTGTGCAGGAAAAACAGCAGCCTGAAGATACAGATGTAGAGCAGGGTGGTGATGAATCACCATCAGGGGTTCAGGTGAGACGCTGAATTGTCCATTTTGGTAAAGATTGCATTAAATTGCTGTTTTTTAAGGGATGTTTAGACAATGTTACCCATGAGTGTTATCATTCACACTGGCTATTTTGAGAATACATGTTATACTTGTAGGTAGTAAAAAGGTGCTATAAATTGGGAGAGACAGCGAGATCCTTCTTGTGGCACTGGCACCTCTGCGGCAGTCAGTGGCACTCAACAAGAAGGATGTCGGCCCTGCTCTAAATTGGGATGCCCAAATTTATGCATCATATAATTCATTAATACATTATTTCATTGCTCAGAAATCCAGTACAGATGATGTAGGCCTAGTACAGCTCCATAAAACCTGAACCAATTACCTACATATTAAAAATTAATTTCAGAACAATCAAATGCATTGCATGTACTTCTCATTAGGTAATTTTGTTAATTAAGGCATTATTTTGAAATGCATTCAGGAAACCCAGAAATCCAGTGCAGATGTAGTGCAGGTTGAGGAAGCAGCAGCTGGACCATCAGGGCTTCAGGTGAAGTCTTAAATTGATTCTGTGTTGAGGTGTATTATCATGGCTGACAGTGTAAACATTGTCTACCTCCATTGTCTCCATGTCTACCTCCATTGTCTCTGGGTTAGGCTGGATGGCTTCTTTTTAATATGATGTGGTTATTTTCAGTTATTTTGGCACAAAACTCAAACGATTGATTTCTTTACTTAAAGCTACAAATCGACAACACTATTGAAGAGAGGGTCTCGTGATCAGGTAACGATTGAAGACACGCTCTTATAAGACCGTACGGCTGATGGTGTCCTTTGGTGCTGCATAAACAAAATACATACATGCAGCCCAAAAAAAAAAGTCATCATTTGGCACACACTGCAAGTGCTGATGCAGTGATCTGTAGTGACCTATTGAACTCTCTGGTGCTTTTAATTCCATGTGTGGGATAAATAAAATGATTCTTATTCTCATCTGCTGGACCTATTTGGTTTTGCTTTCTGATAGGAGTTATTAATTTGCTGCATACTCTACATACAGTATTCAAATGTGCATTTCCATTTGTGTCATACAACTTAGACAGGAGGAAAAATAATGAGCAGCATGGGGATTTGTAGTCTCCTGACTATGCCACTCATTTCCAACTCTACAGTTTACCCTCTTTCAGGAGGCAAATTTGATGACATCAAAATAAAGAGTTGCAGTTATACCAAGAAGATGATTTTAATTGAATGAAACGCTTAGATACTGTAAGCACGCAGTTTTTGTAATTGTTGATGGGAGTTGGGATCAAGCTGTTTGTTTCCTCCATCTCTGACGTCTGAAAAAGACAAGCTCGGAGATCTTTGCTTTTGCCTTTGGCAACATCAAGTTAATGTTATTACCACCGGAATTATAAGGTTGTTACTTTCAAATTAAAAGCCTAGAAAAAATGTCCCGTTATCCGCATGTACAAAAGACGGTTGCAATCACATGTGATGGGTGTGGTGCAGTTTGTGTGATTGTATGTATTAGCTGGGAAATTCATGAATGTTATACTAAGCCTAATAATTTCAGATTCATCAAATGCGGTATTTACATCACATACTAGAGGAGCGAACAAGACTAAGGCCAATCAATGTTTATGATAAGGATTATTATTATTACTAGCATACATACAACTGGTGAAAATTAAACGGCAAAGAGTAAATCTGTGATTAAAAACGTTGGGGGGAAAAACACGCTCGATAGCCGCTATAGCGTTAGTTTGAAAAATATTCAACCGGACGTTGTACTTGTTATGGGATAGTCCCCCGTTAGCTTGATAACCGTGTCCTGCTTCCATCCAGTGTAAAACACAGGTAAACGCTCTAGCTATTTCAGCAACGTATTTGGGTTTTCTGATATTGTATCGTGCTCATTTTACGCAACTTCAGTGCAGTATGTGACCTGTCAATATCGGCCGGAACGTGTAGTTTTCGCAATCACACATTTGCTATTTGCCGAAGTAAAGTTCACTTCTGGTGTTAGCCAGCGGGGCTAGCCACCAACTAGCTGTTATCACACGATTAGCATTAGCTGTGCTAGCGATAGCAAACTTGTAATGTTACGTTAGAAATGTGCTTTACACTCCCCCGGCTAACGGCTGATAACCAACAAGCTACGCTCTGTACGTACACTCCAAACGTTAACTGCTCTTTAGTAACCTGTAAATAGTGACATGCTTGCTGTGCGTGTAGCTAAGTGGCGTTAGCTAGCTAACAGGAACCGTCCTCTGTCGACGGAACGCCACACCAGACTCCCTCTGAAACCTAAAGATGTATCATCACCTCGTCGATCTAACAAACCACTTTGCCGATACTACACCAGTCAATGGCGTTAGTAACATGTAGAATGATGAATCACGATATTCGGCGCAAGTGTTATAAAACAGGTGCGTACCCCTTTAGTAATTACACTTTTTTAAGTTGGTAAACGTTAGCAACCTACCCAGGGTCAACAGAAACCCCGTTCAAGTATGCTACATTTAAAGATCCTACGTTATGCTCTACATGTATGTTTATTTTAGGAAATGGAGGTTTAAGAATGCCGTTTTGCTTTCTAAAAGGAGATCACCCTAAAATGTTCTTCATCTCGATTTAACTCCGCAAGTAACGTTAGTAGCTTAGCTAAGCTAGCAACGTAGCTAATGTTCGGTTTTCCGTGCTTGCCAGTGTCGGTGAGTTATGCAGGAAACTGCAGCGATGCTGTGACACGACCCGCTTGGGGGATCGTGTCTTTTTTTTCTTCCAACGCTCCAAAATACATAAAGCGTCCACCACAACCACACAGTAACTTCTAAAATTCTCAACAGCAACACTGGCGTGACAGGTGTGTTGGTGTTTGACAGGCTGGAAGTGAACGCTACATAGTTATCGAAGAGAACAACGAAAAGTAAACGTTTGGTAGGCCCGGGATGCTGGGTCGTCTGGATGCATCATGGCCATATCATTGTGTCATAGTGAGTTTTGGCGTGCCGTGCGCAGTGCTGACATTTGTCAGTGCCGCTGTGGTACACACGTGGTCGACTTGCTGTCCGGTTTTCTTATAGCATCGCTAAGACGGTGTTAACGTGGCTTATTTCTCAGTCAGGGTTGTTGTTTTTTGTCACATGGCAGCGACTGCCTCAACTACTGTAAAAGCTAAGCACCCATTTTGAGAAGTAAGAAACATTGTATTGTTCAGGTCCTTGTTTATAATATTTGACCCGCACTGAAGGAAACGGTGCTTACTGGAAGCCCCAGCAAAAAAACAAACCAAAACCAAAAGATGGAAAGGAGTGTTTCTCTCCCACTGACGATCTACATACCCTATATGGGCAGTGGTGCGTAGTCGCTTACTGTTGACTCTTGAGAGATGCAGAGGAATAAATAATATAACCAAGCCCTACAGGACAGAATAGACTGCGTGATATCTCTCCAGAGTTGTGAAACCATGTCTCCCAGTGAAGTGTTTGTGTCCGTGAGCCTCATGGATATATGATTCAAACAGAATTTCTGGATCACATGTTATCACCTCACTAATACCTGAAGAAGCACACACACACACACCATTGACTATGTTCAGTCTGAATGCGACTCCCGCTACACACTAGTATTTAATCGTGCCCGTAATGTCATTTTTGTTTTCTAACAATTGTGGCGTCATCATGAATCTCCAGCTTGTGATCGGGACCGATGGAGACGACGGGAGTTTGTGAGATCGACGTGGCGACCAGGAGAATAGTGGGAGGTAGTGACTCTCCACCTGACCTGGACAGCCCATGTCAGGTAAACAAACACTACCCACTTGGGGTTTTTTTTGTGGATGCTCTCGGACTGGTCATGTTTCAAGTAACATTGTTTTTAAATGTTCAGAAAGTTGCAATAAATTAGCTGCAAGCGTTTCTCTAGGAGTAGCTATTGATTTGGTGCACTCAAACCATACTTTTTTACGAATCCCCTTCTGTATTTGCCGTATGGCAAAATTCTCAAATGTGTTAAATGCTCTCTAAACACAAGCGAATGTGGACAAACTTTTGTCTACGTAAAATTGTCTAAAATGGGCAGCAGTTTTGGTTGAAATCAGGAACTGTCTGATCAGAAAATGTGTAAAACGAGAACTAAAATCTGCCCAGACGTTTTGGTTCTTGTCAGTTTTTCATACTCTAGTGAGCAACATGTCCCTCCAGCAACGGGCGCAGCTTCTTTATCAGAGCTGTCATGTGGAAAGAGCTCTCCAATTTTGTGTTACAGCTGCTTTGTGTGTGTGTGTGTGTGTGTTATCAGGAGGAGGTCGCAGAGTTTGGTTTGGGCTTGTGCTGTGCCGAGGAGGAGAGGGGGGAAACCCCGGGCAGAGAGGACAGTCCCAGCGACCTGGGGGATCCGGAGCTCGACCCCGGAGGGGACCTGAAGACCGGAGAGGACAAGGCGTTCGGTAGGAACGCTATAATGCATCTCACGAGCACCGAGAGAGACATGCTCCTCGTTACATTTAGCTTTTCGTTTCCTAATCAGTGCCCGAGTCATATTTCTGTAACATTCGCTGGAATAAATGTATCACTTAATACTAGCCAGTACTTGAACAGATAGATGCAATTTGCAATGTTACGTATACCATATCTGAATAATAATATAATCAGCAACAGATGTGCATGTAGACATTAGGTATACGGGTTATGCAGGGCGCCCTTTATTCAATTCAATAGAAATTAAGAAGTGTATAAGAGAATTAATGAAACAAAATCCCTGCATACAGTATAAGCATTTGACTAGTTTTCCCAGATGTAGCACTTTTTGCACATCAAAGTATTTTTTTTGTCTTTGTTTAGACCACAGGAATCACAGGAACAACTTATATTCAGTCTTTCCAAAAACATGCTTCTGGGGAAATCATTTTGTCAACTTTCAGATGAAACCTATCATCTTATTCTTAATGCAGTAGTTATCTGATATCATCGAGATGACCAAAAAATTAATCTTTGGGGGAAATGTTCAGAATAATGCTCCTAATTTGCGTGTCACTAGGGTGTTCAGACAGTAGTCTTGAGTTGCATTTTGTTCAGTTGCAGCCTTATGAATGAATGAATGACATGTCTACCAGTCCTGTTCAGTGGTTCATGTTGTTGTGGTTTTTTGTTCCAGGGAAGGAGGTTGTCCTTTTGATGCAGGCTCTGAACTCCCTCGCCACTCCTGAGGAGAAACTAGCTGCTCTGTGCAAGACATATGCAGACCTGGTACGCTGAGTATCTGTATTTGAACACTCGGACTTTGATTCTGAAGATCCGATTAGTCAATTACGAAACAATTTTCCTTTTAACATGTCTTTTATCAAGCACGTCAGGTTTTCATTGGTTCCATTTTCAACTGTAAATTACACGTGCGACTAATTGACTGTGTTTTCCTAATGACTAAGTGTGCTATCATTTATCTACGAAAGGTTTAACAACGTAAACATAATGCGATCCTTTCGGTGTTGACTGTGTGCGTTGTGTTCAGTTGGAGGAGAGCCGCTGCATGCAGAAGCGGCTGAAAGCTCTGCAGAAGAAACAGTCCCAGATCGTGAAGGAGAAGGTCCACCTGCAGGGGGAGCACAGCAAGGCCATCCTGGCCCGCAGTAAGCTGGAGAGCCTCTGTAGGGAGCTGCAGAGACACAACAAGACTCTGAAGGTACACCTCGGCCTGCTGCGTCCGCCCTCCTCCTCGTCTCACATCGCTTCTCTGTGTACATGGTGTAATTTGTTGCCATTAAACTCCTTGTTGACCCCCCCCGCTCCTGCCGCCTTCAGGAGGAAAACGGCCAGCGGTCCAGGGAGTACGAGGAGCAGCGGAAGGAGGCCATGCTGCACTTCCAGATGACCCTGAGCGATATCGAGGTGCAGATGGAGCAGCACAGCTCCCACAACACCAAGCTGAGGCAGGAGAACATGGAGCTGGCCGAGAAGCTCAAGAAGCTCATCGAGCAGTACGAGCTGCGAGAGGAGGTACGGGTGCAAAAAAACGCTGCGGTTAAAGCAGCCGCGTCTTCATCGCGGTGGCCTAGACGTACTCTGCTAACTCTTGAGATATGTTATCATGTAGAACTTGAATCATGACGGAAAGTAAAAGATGCTTTTGGCCATTTTTAGTAAACCAGAGGACAAAAAATGCGATACTGGAAAAATAGATTTAAATAAGAAAAATAAATAATGAAAAAAAGTATTAAGACAACTAATATTCTTTTAGGTTCTTTATATGAGATTTTGAAAATTAATATGGCGGAAAACAATAGTTTGGAATATAAAGAGCAGAGAATGAAGTTCCCTGTATGTGTGTTGTCATACGAGCTTCTCTGTGCTTTGTTTTGGCAGCCGAGGTCGGCCGTGCGTGCGCGTTAGCATTCGGTACTGCGTTAGCAGAACAGCTAGCAAGCTAATAATCACACCACATGGTTTTAGGTCGCTCGGCAGATCGAAGAAACGGCTCCTCGCGTCATTAATGTAACAGGTGGAAATGTGACGCGTCCCCCTCTCTTGCAGCACATAGACAAGGTGTTCAAGCACAAGGAGCTCCAGCAGCAGCTCATGGACGCCAAGCTGCAGAGGATCACCGAGATGATGAGAGAGGTGGAGGAGAAGCAGCAGAGAGAGAGGGACTTTGTGAGTACACGCGAGGGTTCGAAGAAGAGCGGAAATGACTAAATCAAGCAATGGTGTTTTTAACGGTATTCAGGATGATGAACTAACTGACCTGTGACGCTTCAGCTGCTGAAGGACGCCACGGAGTCCAGACGCAAGTGTGAGCTGATGAAGGAGCAAGAAACGCAGCTCAAACAACAGGCGAGTACTCGCACATACGCGCAGGTTCTCGGTGGATGAGAAACAGGTTTTTGTTTGGTGGGAATGACCTGTAGAATCCTTGTGTTGGCTGAAAGGTTTGAGAGTGACCTTTGCCCCCCCCCTTCTCCTCCCCCCTCAGCTCTCCCTGTACATGGACAAGTTCGAGGAGTTCCAGAGCACCCTGGCTAAAAGCAACGAAGTCTTCACCACTTTCAGACAAGAGATGGAGAAGGTGACTGACGGACTTCCTGTCGGCGGCTAGTGTTCGTGTCTCACTGTTTTGTGTCCCCCCCCCTTCCTTCCTGCCGCTAACTGTCTGGCTTTGCCTCCCAGATGACCAAGAAGATCAAGAAGCTGGAGAAGGAAACGACGCAGTGGAGGACCAAATGGGAAAGCAACAACCAGGCCCTGCTGCAGATGGCCGAGGAGGTGACTCTCCCGATATCCACACTCTCCTCTTTTGCTTTAGGCTGCTTCGGTAGCGCAGCAGTAAGACTTATGGAGCAAGCTTTCACGATCACCAGTCGGTTTGGTGATTCTTCAGATTTTCCTTTAGTGCCACCATGAAGTAAGAGGAGGCGCCGTGACATCTGGTTCATGTCCACTCCCCTCTCTCTCTCCAACAGCTTAGGTGATCCTCTGGCACTAAGCAAGATGTAAAGTCAGCGGTTAAACTGAACTGTTAACATTTATAATATAATCTATAAAACAATCACTGAACTCAGGATCCACTTGCTAGTTTTTCCAGCGCTTTCAGTCTCCCGTGGCCCGTCCCAGGACTTAGAGATGTGATTTAACAGCCCTGACAAAATAATCTTATCTTAAGGTCCTTTTACTGAACTGAAAATTAACCTCTGACGCTCAAGATCCATTGTGTTTTGTCCTAGAAAACTCTGCGTGACGGCCACTTCAAGGCCCTGCAGGGGAAGCTGGAGCTGCTGGAGAGGCTGTGCAGAGCCCTGCAGAAGGAGAGGAACGACCTCAACAACCAGCTCAGCCTCCTCCAGGAGCAGGAGGACAAGGGGACCACGGCGCCTCCTGAAGCCCAGCCGCAAGAGCCCGCCGCCGGGCAGGACGATGAGGAGAAGGGGGACGTGGAAGATGTGGAGGGCTCGGCACAGGACGACGAGCCAGAGACGGGGGACGTCCACCAAGCTTCCAGACCACCCGAACTGGACCACACACCGGCTGCTACTGATGAAACCACTAATGCTGCTGCTGCTACGACAACGAGCCCGTCTGTGGAAACCTCACAGCAGGACTGAACGAGCCGGCGCAGCCCGTGTAGGTGAGGCGGGTGCGATCGGAGGGCTCCACACACCTCCAGCCTAGTTCCATAACAAGCCAGAAAAACATCTTCAATGGGGATAGAGTTCTTTTCTTCTTCTTCTTTTTTTTATTCTAGACTCGCCTCTCCAGGTTTCCGCACGTAAACTGAGCCTGTATCGTTTTTCTGTGCGACAGTCAAAGAGGAGTGAAATGATTGTATCCAGGATTCTGTTGTAAAACGTTGCCCACCTTTTACTTTGGATGTAATGATTGGCTTCATAGCGAGCACTTGGTACTTCTTGTTTTTCTACCACAACTGTATTTTCATAGGAACATTTCCATTGAAGCTGCGCAAAGTCGAGTTTATTTTCTCCCTTCACATGGTCTCTCCCTGTAGTTTCTCATTGGAAATTCTAGTTTGATTAAATTAAAGTGTGTTGTGTCATAGGTCACTTTATGTAGCCTTACAAAAAGATGGAAGAGCAAAGTCAGACTTGGGCTTATTTGTCATCCGTTTTGGCCACAGGGTATTAGATATCTTTTGATCACATCATACCACAACTTGGATGAGTTTAAGATTTCTTTCGCAATTAAAACGGGAAGCGTCTCATCAAAAATGAATCCGCACATCCTACTCGCACGGCAGCTGGCGAGCTACTTTAGCTGCCAAGCTACCCTACAACCTGCTAGTTAGTAGGGCGGTCACTTTATGTGAAAATAATGTAATAATCCATCTCTCATAATCTAAAAACTCTGAAGTGCGTTAGCCCGACAGGCCGTGCCTTTATACTCGAGCATGGCCGTCACTCTGACCCAGGCCTGCCATGCTGGTGGTTGTTTTCATGACACCAAACCATCTGAGCAGTAACGTGTGGAGGCATTTTGGATTTATTTTTTTTTGTCTTCAACACCAAAGATTTAAAAAAACTTGTGGACAGGAGTGAAGGGGGACTTTGTAAAATCAATGTGACATAGCTCGTCACTCAAGTGAGGCGCCACAAATGAAGCATTATATTAACTTAAAGGGACAGTTCACCCCAAAATCATAAAATACACATTTGTCCTCTTACCTGTAGTGCTTTGGTTCTTTTTGTGTGAGGCCGTAAAGATGTCCGTCTTCTCTCAGATGACGTGGCACCCGGCTTGTGGTTAAAGGCAGCCAAAAAAAAATCTATTTTACAAACTCAACAGCGATGTCTTTCCCGAAAGTTAAGATGCGGTTACTCTAGATAATCCAGACGTTGTTATGAGCAGGTTTTTTTTTTTTTTCTAAACTTCACCCATGATGTGATGTGACGCAGCTGGTTACTTAGCTGGGCAGTTAACAGATTGGCAATTTGCTCCTCCCCTTCTGTAGTTCACACTTCAGGGGCGTTTGCTGCCCCCCAGTTGTTGATCCATGTGTGCGATTAAAGCCGTTTGTTACCACTGACTGAATCCTAAACTTAAAACCTTGGGCTTGATAGTTCCACCTCTTGTTTGTCTCACCCATGAAATGTAATAAGAGGAAAATATGGGGGAATGAAAATAATGAATACAGGTCAAGACAATTATTTTGTTGCTGGCTTGTTGCCCACTTGAGGGACAATAAATAATGTAAAGGCCTAAAAGCTGGTACTTGTGCAAAAAAAAAAATAAGCCATGTAATCTGATTTCCATATGGTGAGCTCAACAGGAGACCCGAGTCACTTAACACTGATAGGTTGAATGTGACTTCTTTTCTAATGCATTTTAAATAAAAATATTGATTTCCATCAGTGATTAGGAATACTATCCACTCGGATGAAAGTCAATCCACGCACTTACGTCCTCTGCAGATTTTTTTTTTTTTAATCCCTGCTCGCTCCGAGGCAATGGCCCAAAACCTTCAGTATAGTACTTTATTCTCTGCTAACATCACTATTGCTTTGTCTGTATTTGGAATCGGTCTATTTGTGGGTACAATTACAGGAAAGAGCAAGACTTTGAGAAAAAAAAAGTTGCAACAATTGATGTGAACACGTACAGGGTCAGGTGGTGTACTTTTCTTTGGGTTGAAGTACAGGTCTAGCTTTTCAGCATCCACTTCCTTTCTTTGGCGTTGCCCCAGATTGACTCTCAGGTAATGTCAGAATCTACCTCTGCAGGTGTTACTAACTGTGAAAGAAGAGGCACGAGTCACCATAGCTTCGGAGAGCTCTATTTTTACTAAAAAAATAAATACATACGAGCCCACACCCCCTCTTTGATTGTAAAATGTTCTTAAAGTCCTGTCTTGCTTTTCAATAAACATTTTGTAGAATTTGCAACGACTGGATTTGTTGGGTCTTGTGTTATTTGCATGTGCAGCATTAAAGGTTGAAGACATTCAAAAAAAGACAAATGAAAAGTTATAAAAGTTTTATTGCAATTTGTGGTGCAGGAAACAAAACAAGGCAATTTCACATTATGTAACAGAAAGAGGAAACAGATTTTTTTTTTTTCCCTCAAGTGCACTAATTTAGTCCCACACCTTTCACTGAAGAGTTTATGTACCTTATGAACAGGAGGCAAACACAGCAAAGGGCAGCCATGAAGTGTCACATGAGTACAATTATTAAGGGACAAAAGGTGACTGGTGGGAAATAGTATAAAAGACGGCTCCCCTGGAGATGGTGAGCTTTTAACCAATCACGGTCTGGACTGTTGTGGATCAGGTCTTCTACTGTCCAGGTTTCCCATTTGTTTCTGGAGGAGAGCCTACCAGCTAGTGGCTTTCTGGCTACTCGGAAGTCAATGTAAAATGACACTTCTCATGTTCTCCTTGCATAAGCCCTGTGACTGGTCTTACCAATAGCTTACAGTGACACATGAAGGTTTTCTGTACTTTAGAGTCTTCAAAGGCCCCTCACCACAGCAACCCACCCCCCCACCCCACACCAGAGATACTACCACCTGAGCAGGTACGACATTTCAACTCCTATCCTGTTGTAAGTGCTTCAGTGCCGTTGGGTACCTGGGCCGCGGTGAAGTGGAAGCAAGATGAGCCGGAATCCAACCGTCCGTCAGTCAGCGAGGGCGGAGTCTACGTGGTCTCCAACTCTTAATGTTTGTTCATGTGGAGAGCAGACTTTTACTTTTGCACTTGATAAGCCAGGGAGGGAAAGGACAGGACGGGCCGGGTCAGGGAATGGAGGGGGGGGAGGGGAGGTGGAGTCGTGCCTGAGCCGGGTTATGAACCCTGAGCCTCGAGCTCGGATGCAGGGGTGTTGTCTGGCTCCTCGTCGTTGTAGATGTTCTCCGCCTGGGAGGAGGTGAGGAAGAGGACAACATACTCATCAATGAACGCACAGACGAGACAGAAAGGTTTCTACTTCAGCTCACATTTGACGCTGGGTTGACTCAGAGCCTAACAATGCGATGACAATATCATGAATTCTGTTGCACACCTGGGGCCAGATGCATAAAACTGTTGATTCACCACTAAAACGGTCTGTACGCACAAAGAGAGAAATATGCATACGTGTTCTTCTCAGCAGATTTATGAAGCCGCACATACACCTGATTCCGATGTTCTGCTGGTGCATGAGGAGAGACCGGAGCCATCATAATCCCACAGAGGAATAACTGTGTGTGGGCGATGGACGGCAGCTGTACTCACCATCTGCCAGACTTGCATGATGTTGTCCTCGGACACGGAGCAGATGACCCAGGGCTCGTTGGGGTTCCAGGAGAAGTCAGAGATCTTGGCCGTGTGGCCGCCGTGGATGAACTGATGGAAGAAAAGGCGTAAATTAGAGAGAAGCATTTTCATAAGTAAATATTAAGTAAACAGGTGAGCGCGAGAAAGGTCGGTGCTTGAATTCACAGTCTCCTTCTATTTCATGACGTTAATATGTCATTGACCAATGGTTAGTGACACGGCCAAGGATCTCATGGTGCTCTAAAGGGGACGATGAATACAATCGGTCATCTTGATTATAGGGTGTCACTTACCAGCAGCTCTGGTGGGCCATCCTCCGCGTCTTCTGCCGACTGCTCCTCCCCAATTTTACTACAAATCAGACAAAAAGATACTCTTCACTGAACTGCTTGTGAAGTGTGATGTGTCCAAATATTCACCACATTGTGAGAGAGCAGTGTTGGTCAACTGTTACGCCGTTAAAAGTTGACCTGTGTTATATTTCCAGCACTGTAAGGGGTCTTCATGAACACTACACCCATACGTTGTTATGAACTTGGTTACGAGTCGTCTTCATGCAGGAAAGCAGTTTGCCTCTAAATCTTATGAGCCACCAATCATCCACCTGGGATCACTCCGATGAAGCCAGCGTGCACTAGCTGCTCCGCACCAAACGGCAGGCGGACCAAGTTAAGAGACTGGCCGGTGAACACCAAACCCTTAAGAGGCCGATAGAACACTCACCAAAACAGAGCTAAGAGAGAGTGAATATGGAACTGACATTAATCAGCTGGACGCAAACACCACTCCAAATGAATCATTATGCTCTGTAGCTAACAAGTTCATCATATCAACTCGGTGGTTTATCAATGTTGTGTTGCCCCCAAATGGATTAAAAAAATAAAAATAAATCAGTTATTGGTTCAAGAGATCCCAAACATTTATCAAAAATGTTTGTGTGTCATGTAAATAAACAACCAATCTATCATTATCAGATTATTTTATACCTTGTTCCCGGTGTGATCTCGTACTGTTGAAACCAGTGGGTCAAAGCCGACTATCCTGCCGGCATGTCGTCTACACCTAGAGTTCAGCAGCCGGAGCTCGGTTCACAACGATACCGACGGTGTCACGGCTTCACTTACAGATATGCATTATGAGTTATTACCTGAGATCCCAGACGTTGAGGCGTCGGTCGGTGCCGCTGGAGGCCAGGATGGTCTCGTTGTGAGGAGACCATTGGACCTAATGAATTGGACGAGTTGGTCACTGGCAGGTCAATGTCATGCTCGTACAGCAACATGGTAAAGTGTGTAAAGACTCTAAAGGCTTAGTAGCCCATTATGTGTTCCTTGTTTTACGAAGAAACTCATAATTGAATCAATATACCCACACACACCCTTAACAGTCGTCTTCTTCATTAATATTTGAATGAAAAACTGTTGCCCTAGAAAAAACAAAAGCCTGAGTCCACGATGTTCCACGGCCACACGTTTCTGTTTAGGAGACGGGTCTGTTCTGGTGAAGTAAGCGAAGGGTTAACTTTACGGAGTGCTTGTGTCTGTTGAATGAATCCCATCATATTATCCATCTGATATATTGTATTCAGCAGCATGGCCTGGTGCACAACAAGGCACGGCAGCTGCTGGTGTCTATGCTTCTCCTCACCTGCTGAACTATTACAAGTTATGAGGTCATATTTGGGATTAATATGAGCTTTGTATTCACATTATCTACAGTACCAGTGATGTTGTAGTTAGTCCCAAGATCCTCATTTGAGTGGGTCCCACCGGAGTGAGGTGGTCCCCCATAAAATATGTTTTTTTGGACAAATTGTAGTGTTTAACATTAAATGGTTATAATTAAAGCTCTAAATCTGGAGTCTAAGTCATCCACCACTAAACTGAGTTTAGAGTTTAACTCTGTTGCCTCCCCTTCTAGTCTGTCACAAATTTTACCAAATTAAAATATATATATACACACATAATTATATTAGTGCTGGGCAACGATTAAAATATTTAATCGCGATTAATCGCATTGTTATGGCAAAGTTCAATAATGAATTCAAAAGTAGTGTATTGCGCACTTTTATTTTAAAAGTACTGCTATATGAACAAAAGGGCAATAACATTTGGTTCACGAGATGCAGGTAGCATGTTTTATACTTAATGTGAATATAATTCATACTTTGTTGGCATCTTATTCTGAAAACCGGATGTTCGTCTGAAGAAACCGGATGTTGTCTCACGTTAATCTTTCCGCTAACTTTCAAAGTCCCTCGCTCGCTCCCGATCTGTGCCGTTTACCGTGAATTTCAGCATATAGGTGCACTAAAATTACTGACTATAGGATGTTTGCTGGCTTTTATCCCACTGTTCTTGTCATCCTCTTGTTATGTATATGTATTGTCTCTTGTCTTTCAATTAAAAAAAATTTAATAAAATTATAATAAATTAAAAAAAAAAAAAACGTTAACGCGCGATAAAATAATTGTCTGCGTTAATTAATGAATGCGTTAACGTGAAATTAACGCGTTAACTTGCACTATATTATATATCTATAATTCTTTTTAGAAAGCGTGATTCAATCCATAACATTTAAATAAACCACTTTTCCTTTCACAAAGTGAGAGATATGTGCACAGCCAGTAAGCAAATGGTGCCTGCTGGTCAGAATAATTTGCTCAACGCGGTGCGTTCCCTGAGTGACTACAGCATCGTTCACTGGCCAGGTGAGTGTACAGTTGTGTGAAAAAGTGTTTGCCCCCTTCCTGATTTCTTATTTTTTTGCATGTTTGTCACACTTAAATGTTTCAGATCATCAAACAAATTTAAATATTAGACAAAGATAAGTAAACACAAAATGCAGTTTTTAAATGAAGGTTTTTATTATTAAGGGGAAAAAAAAATCCAAACCTACATGGCCCTGTGTGAAAAAGTGATTGCCCCCTAAACCTAATAACTGGTTGGGCCACCCTTAGCAGCAACAACTGTAATCAAGCGTTTGTGATAACTGGCAATGAGTCTTTTACAGCGCTGTAGAGGAATTTTGGCCCACTCATCTTTGCAGAATTGTTGTAATTCAGCCACATTGGAGGGTTTGAGCATGAACCGCCTTTTCAAGGTCATGCCACTGCATCTCAATCGGATTCAGGTCGGGACTTTGACTAGGCCACTCCAAAGTCTTCATTTTGTTTTTCTTAAGCCATTCAGAGGTGGACTTGCTGGTGTGTTTTGGATCATTGTCCTGCTGCAGAACCCAAGTGCGCTTCAGCTTGAGGTCACGAACAGATGGCCGGACATTCTCCTTCAGGATTGTTTGGTAGACAGCAGAATTCATGGTTCCATTTACCACAGCAAGTCTTCCAGGTCCTGAAGCAGCAAAACAGCCCCAGACCATCACACTACCACCACCATATTTTACTGTTGGTATGATGTTCCTTTTCTGAAATGCCGTGTTACTTTTACACCAGATGTAATGGGACATACACCTTCCAAAAAGTTCAACTTTTGTCTTGTCAGTCCACAGAGTATTTTCCCAAAAGTCTTGGGGATCATCAAGATGTTTTCTGGCAAAACTGAGACGAGCCTTTATGTTCTTTTTGCTCAGCAGTGGTTTTCGTCTTGGAACTCTGCCATGCAGGCCATTTTTGCCCAGTCTCTTTCTTATGGTGGAGTCATGAACACTGACCTTAATTGAGGCAAGTGAGGCCTGCAGTTCTTTGGATGTTGTTCTGGGGTCTTTTGTGACCTCTTGGATGAGTCATCGCTGCGCTCTTGGGGTAATTTTGGTCGGCCGGCCACTCCTGGGAAGGTTCACCACTGTTCCATGTTTTCGCCATTTGTGGATAATGGCTCTCACTGTGGTTCGCTGGAGTCCCAAAGCTTTAGAAATGGCTTTGTAACCTTTTCCAGACTGATAGATCTCAATTACTTTGTTTCTCATTTGTTCCTGAATTTCTTTGGATCGCAGCATGATGTCTAGCTTTTGAGGATCTTTTGGTCTACCTCACTTTGTCAGGCAGGTCCTATTTAAGTGATTTCTTGATTGAGAACAGGTGTGGCAGTAATCAGGCCTGGGTGTGGCTAGATAAATTGAACTCAGCATTCCAAAGATGTGATAAACCACAGTTAATTTATGTTTTAACAGGGGGGGGGCAATCACTTTTTCACATAGGGCCATGTAGGTTTGAATTCCCCCCCCCCTTAATAATAAAAACCTTCATTTAAAAACTGCATTTTGTGTTTACTTGTGTTATCTTTGTCTAATATTTAAATTAGTTTGATGATCTGAAACATTTAAGTGTGACAAACATGCAAAAAAATAAGAAATCAGGAAGGGGGCAAACACTTTTTCACACAACTGTATGTACCAATACCAGGTTTGTAGCCTTCATTGTTGAGATGAACTCTGTGGTCTCGTTAAGAACCGTTTCTCAGTCTCTCTGGTGACGACTGACTATGAACACAGGATCCCGTCTGCATTAGATAGATGCTCAGACAGGAAGAAATCGGTGACTGTAGCGAGGTTTCTTTTGTATATTTCCACACAGATTTGTCGTTCACAACGCAGCATTATCAGGGAAGGAATGGGGTGCGTCCCCCGGACACGTGGGTAGTGAGTATTATTAATTGAATCCCGTGTTCCCATGACAGCTTCCTATTATTACTGTTATTAGGAACCAAGTTGGCCGCTTGTATATTACTTTTTTTTTTAAACTGCAGACTGACATTTATACTATGCTTCATCTGACTAACAAATAAATAACATTAAGAAGCAACTGATTTTCTTACCTGGAAAATTTCATCTTTGTGGGACTCAAAGGAGTGGAGCTTCAGTTTGAGGTTCCTTAGATCCCACAATGCAACAGTCTGAGAGACACAAAACAAGCTTTGCAATAAACAGTTATTCCAACGTATTCAATTCCAGTGCAGAGAGTTTTTCTTCATCTCTACCTTATCGGCAGAGCCGGTGGCGAGTATGAACTCGCTGTAGGGGTTGAAGCTCAGACAGTTGACCTCGGCAGTGTGAGCTTCTACTGCGTGGCTGGCTTTGGACGTGGTGTTGGACCGGGTGTCCCATCTGGTGGGGGAGTGAGGAGAGTCAGAGGCAGCAGGGACCTCATTGTATTTGTGCAGAACTACAACAGCAAAATAGAGCAGTTCTAAGTGAAAGAATCTCTTGTCCCTGTTCACAGAACCGGACGGCTGCTCACATCATGAGTTTCTGGTCGTCGGCCACTGAGCCAAACAGGGATTCGTGGAGCAGATGCCAGGAGACGTCCTCCACCACCGCTGTGTGGCCGGTGAAGATGGTCTTGGCATCCACAATCTTCCCTTCCTTTGGGCCGGCCCCGATGTCCCATAGACAGATGGTCTGCGGAGAAATAAGAGGGGGAACACAATCCATTATTTTTGCATCACTGGGCATACCAACAACTTGTCCTCACAACTTTACTACAGTACATAATACTGCTACTTACAACTTTTTCACTATCGCTGTAGCTACAAGGACAAAATGTATAATAAGCTCACACAATACCATTGGATGTGACAGACTGCACTACCTAACGGTATATAAAGTAGTTCAAATGCATGGAAAGTACATTATATGGACGAACACAAGCAAAACATGCATTTTCAGTAAGATGTGAGAAAATTCGAAAACTTCATATCGGCCTCATCACAAGTCTTCATCTACCACCCTAAACATCACCGGTGGAACAAATGTTTGGCTCACAGGTTTTACACAGTAATCACTTTATATTCCGGAGTGATTGGTGATCGGCGGCTCCTAACAAGAGCTCCGATCCCTCCTGCCAGTATAACCGTCCTGCTCCACAGTGGAGCCCTAAAGCTTTGGAATAAGTATACATTTTTTCTTCCAGGTTTAAACATTTTGAACTCCAGCAACATGTCTTTGCCTAAATTTGGACCATCTAAAGAGAATCAGCGATAATCACATCCACTAGCTTCTTTCCATTGTGTGTGTGTATGTGTGTGTGGGGGGGTGTAATCACGCTGTACTTAAAATTCACAGTCTGAACAAACCTTTGGACACTTCTTTCTGGCACATTCTCTTATTTGCGCTGGAAAAACCAGGAAATGAAGGCGTCCCTGTTGGCTTTGACTTCTTGTCACTTACGTGGTCGTCGGAGGCGCTGAGTAGGTTGCCGCTGAGGTTGGGATTCCAGGAGAGGCCGTACCCTTCTTTCTGGTGGCCTTTCAGCCTTAAGTCGGGACTACACTCCCCACTGGGATCTGAAACACGTACATTAACACCGCGTTCACCTTCATGATGTGCGAGGCACTGGAGTTGTGTGCATTGGGATGCATGTAGTGATCGAACCTGGCTTCACCGGGTGCTTATTGTAGTCGAAGACCAGCACGTCTGAGGTGGGAGTCTTGGTGGCAATGATGCAGTGGTTCTGGGGCATGTAGCGGGCTCGGTTGACCTCTCCCTCGTGGTTGATCTTGATCTCTATCTCTATCTTCCCGCTTACGGAACCAAATCCACCAAACTCTGACAAGAGAACACAATCAGACTGTAGTACGTTCCAGGTAGGAAATGGACACTTGACAACTGCAGGTCGGACCGTGGTTGGTCAGTTAGTCTATTTTACTAGGAATGCAGAATATTTGTGGCGGATAAATGATTATTGTTTTCGGCTAATGTAAAGTCTTGACGTCAATCTGGTGTGGAATAATGATTTTTGTCTCTCTGCCTTTCTCTTCTCTGTTCTATTGTCGGTGCTCGTCTATATTTTATTTAATGACAATGCTCGGTCCATCCATAACTGCAACGAAAACCGTTAGTAAGAGCAACTCATCTAACACGTTTGGTTTGATTGTAGTAAAAATCAAGATGCACATGTAGTCGGGAGAAGAGCAGCATCCTATAAGAGCACACGAGGATAGTCCAAAATAAACATCATGGCTACAAACGGGGCAAAAAGACCTGCACTCTTCCTACACAGGGGAGTCCAAGGGCAAATACAAAATAAACTAAGTTTATTACAAACAATAATTAAATATATTCCTTATTGTTGGGACATTGAGTTAGTTTGTTAGAAAAATTAACTTGTTAATCTAAAAATAAACATCTGTTGTCCTATTCAATTTATTCTGTATGTTAGAATAATAGAAGCAGTGAACATGTCAGTATCTGCCACAGCGAACAGATCATTACTGCCAAAATTCATTTCTGCCGATTAAGAAAGCCATTATGTGTGAATGTACTAAAGCTGGTGACCAGTACGACGTTTCATTTCTGCTCTCAAGCTCAATTTAAGAGCAGGACTTATAAGTTCAAAAAAAGGGAGAGAACTCGCAGATCAATATGTAGTAAACTAATATTTCACCCCTTCCATTTTGCAGCATGCTTTTGTGTGTCGTGAGTTTTAGACTTGGACTGTACCTCAAAATGTGTTCAGTGGCCACACTAACACACTAATACTACCTCTGGTTACACACCAAAGGAGCGGTGAGCCTTCAGCACACCTACACACAGCTGGGCAACGTACCTGCTGGAAGACAGAATAAAACAGTTTCAGCATCAAGATGGAATGGCACATGACTCGGGTCTTGACTCATTAATAATTTCACTCACCATATAAAATGTCTGAGCTAAGTTTAAACCAGGCTCCGACAAGGCTAGTATCTATCTTAACTCACATGACAAACTGTGCAAATATTTCATGAAGCCCTCCAGAGGCACGCTTTTTGTTTTGGTGATTGGTTAAAATAATAATAATAAAAATATTACAATATCAACTTGTATGTATGGGAAAAATACACCTACTCCCCTGACCGTACAACACTATTAAAGTGGTAACGCGTAAGTACTATTCGGATGTATGCGAGAAGTATTCTACTTCAGTACTCCTGCAAGGTAACTCCTGGTTTATTTACCTCCTTTCTCACTGTCGTAGTGCGAGGCATCAAACTGGGCGTCATCGTTCGGTACCTGGACGCTGGCGATCACAAGGTGGTTCTGCTCATCTGATGTATGGGTCCCCAAAACCAGCCTGTGAATGGCATAGTCCTTCCCCTCTGGCCTGCAGAGGTCCACAACATGGACATGACATTAATCCATACTCTGTAGCAAGACACACGTTGGGGATTTGAACCACACTTTATGAGCAGTAGGATGGAGGACATGTAAATACCTGTTGACATCTGGAAGCCACTGGACAGTAAGGCTAGGCCACTCCAGCGCATGAGTCATCACCAGATCATACAGGAAAGGTGTGTTTTTCTTCCAAATCTTGTACTCCTCATTGATGACCCTTTCTTCCACCGCATCATCGTACACTTCAGCAGAACAAACTGGGATAAGTTACAAGCAAATGAGACATTTTCTTCAGTAGAGTTACACATTTAATATGAGACAGTTGATTAGGCACACACAGCTATAGTTAAGCAAACGTTACATGTCATGTATAACCAGTCTAGTCTTGCTGGAGCTACTGGGGGTTCAAGACTAAACTATCTAGACTGATAGCTGGTGACGTACTCTGTGGTTTTAGCCATATTTCCTGTATTCATAAGTGGTTTATTGCTCGCTACCACCCACTAACGTGTCGGCGTATTTCTGATGATGGGGGCTGTGGCAGCGTCACAACAAGCAAACACTTCCCTGAGTTCAAATATATGCTTTCTGGTGCATTGGATGTAATTATACTTGATCTAAAGAGTAGAGGTTTGACATGACGTGTTTAAAAATTAAAATAAAAATGTAACACCGAGAACAGCAAACAGACTGACTAAGACCAACCCCCTAATAGGACTTTAGCGTTACTAAGCTAGCATGTCATGCTAGCACACAAAGCGGTACACGCGGGCCACCGCTTTATACGATAGGTACTTGTGATAAACCTACCCTCTTTATCAGCCATGGTCCAAACTCTGCGCTTTGTCACGACGCTCGAAAGCAAAGCAACTCGGTAGACGCTGTTTTTAATGAATACCGCGGTTCCCCCTCGCTAGCGCTGCTTTGGTCGCACCACTACAAAAGTAGGCTCCTTCCTTTTCAGCGCCGAATTACTCGATACCTATTACGCATGCGTCAGTCCACGCATACCAACGAGGGTCAATATTGCGCGCGAACTGCGCATGGGGAGAAGTGACTGCGCAGACGTGGCGGATCCCACCACCTGTACCAATATATTATACATACATTTAAGTTTTGCTGCCTCGTCAATTATAATTTTGTGAATGCACGTAAACAGTCATTGCGTCATGGCTTTAGACGAAAATACCTAGAAAATAGCATGGGCAGAATATGCAGGCCTGCAAATTGAAAGTAGCCAATTAAACAGATATTAGGTTGTATCATAATGTATAAATGGCGCTGCATGGACTAACATAGTGTGTGTATTATCACTGATGTGCAGTAGGCTATATAATGCATACACAGTACACAATATACAGAATTATATACTCTAACGCTCATGTATATAGTAATGTTTATGTTAAAGGAGAAATAGTACGCTACCTCAGCTAGCATGCTAATGTTAGCATGTTAACTGGACGCTTCTGATCCATTTTCCCCCCATGTAACAATATTGTTTCTCGGTGTGTAATACAGCCTCACTCTGCATTCCAATGAGTTTATTTACTAAAAGTCTCGTCCATAAACAGCAAAAAACAGTTTACAGTAAATTACAAACCTTGAAAATGCAAAACATATTCCAAATACGAGCATAACAAAGATCTAAAGGATATTAATAAAAAAGCATGAGTTTACATACACAAGGGGTGTTCGCTATCAAAAAAATAATTAGGTCTATACATCTCATGACGACAATAGCTGAAGCAAAGTAAAGGCAACTGGCACAGAGTTAAAAGACAGAGTAGCCTGGTGTCATCTTTAATCATAATTCATGTAATTAATTTAATCTAAAGTTTGGGGATTTAAAATGCATTATTACTCTGTATGTTCGTCACAATGTTTCAGATGAAAATACATTTTCACAGCTCTGTTTCCTTAGATAGTTAATGTGGCTCAGTTTACTGTCAGGTTTTAGACGTTGAGACAAGGCAACAGAAAAAAAGTGGAATGTGTCTTGTTTTTCCCCCCACATGTCCTTCGCACGCCAACAAATATCTGACTTTAAGCTATGAACCAATGCACACTTTTTCTCCAAGAATGAGCACAACAGTAGAGCATGCCACTATAAAAAAAGAAGCTTTGAAATATACAGTGATCTATTTCACAGAATACACAGAAGAACAGATGTATCACTTTCCCATAAAAAGATGAGACCTAGAGCAGTCCGAGTAGAATACTGGTCCTATATTCTACGACAAGAGTAAAATATACCGTTATAGTTCATCTTCGAGTTACAATGTGTAACCCAGTTGTGCACAACACTTCATACATTTATCTATGTATTTCCATTCGTCTTTTTTTTTTTGGTTACATAAAAGAGTAACATATATGGTGATGGATGATGCTTCCCAAGTCCCTCCCATAATTATCCTCGTAAAAAAAATGCAATTTCAAGCTATAACGAGAGTGACCAGTACAATGCAATACCCAACATATATCATGGATGGCAGGAGAATGAATGAATGAATGAATGAATGAATGAATGTAAT